TTGTGATTCTTGTTTTTCTTTCCTAGTTTACTTGTAAGATTCAAGGAGGGGCTGCAGCTCGCGCCTCTCGCTGGGATGATGTATGAACTCACTCTAAATTTGCTTCTGAATCAATAAATTTATTATTATTCATCAAAAAAAAATGAGAGAGAGAGAGAGTTAAGATACAGAATTCACCCAATCAAAAGTTTACCAAAAATTAATCCCAAACCCTGGTCTATTAACACCCAGAAGTTCAGTGTGGACCATCACCCAGTTCACTATCATTCTTCCTATATCAGCACAAAGCCTTTCCAAGTTACTTTATTTGTCTAAAAGAATTAATATGCACTTGATCACCAGAGATGAAACAGATGCTAAGGGGTGATAAATAAGAACAAACAGGAGCATATTTAGGACAGGCGTTTTAAAATAGTGTAGCATTTTATTGAAATCAAAAGAGACATAATAAGTTATGCTTATTGTCCAGTTTGAGTGGTTCACTGAGCCAACAGTTCACAGTCAAATCATCAATCCAGTGGACCAGGCCAGTTTTCAAACTATTCAATTATAAAAAGAACCATTGATCACCTTATAGAGGTGGCAGCATAAAGAGTCACAGGGCAAGAATCATGGGACACTGCACGAGTAGGAGTCCTCCAAAGAATATTTGAAAGTGACAACACAGCGGAGGGACTGTCACTTATAATACGGACTTTTGCATCACATTTTGGAGAAGAAGAAACAGCCCCATCATGTACAAAGACATTTGAGATAGAAGATAAGTGGGATGTAACCTACAGATCAAAGATAAATGCTGTTAGGTATGAACTAGAAGTAACAATTATATAGGCAACAACGTTTGACAGGCTAGTACAGAAACATTAAATGCAAAGTTAGAATTTGCATACAACAAGCCAGTAAAATCCATGAAAAGTATCTAGCCTCAAAAATAATATCTAATATTTGTTAATGCATTGCCAAGTAAAAATCAAACAGAACAACCAACAATACATTAGAACACTATTAGATCCAAAATGAAAACAAAAACCGGAAATGGCTGCTTAGTGTTACTCTTCGTTTTCATATAAACATCTCACTTGTACCAATGTCATCAAAATTTGCATTTCATACATTTATTTGTTTAGTTTGACAATTCTTGGTTTGATTTATTTTTACTGCTTATATTTTATCCTTCCATAGTTCTAGGCTTCTAGACTCTACCTTCATGTTGAAACCGGAAATGGCTGCTTAGTGTTACTCTTCGTTTTCATATAAACATCTCACTTGTCCCAATGTCATCAAAATTTGCATTTCATACACTTATTTGTTTAGTTTGACAATTCTTGGTTTGATTTATTTTTACTGCTTATATTTTATCCTTCCATAGTTCTAGGCTTCTGGACTCTACCTTCATGTTGACTCCATCATAACTGAAAGACAATAAAAACAAGGTCATAGGCATCTCTTCCTTCAAGAGAAGGGAAGAAAAACAAAAAGAAGGGAGGAGTAAACCAGATCAAATGACAGAATCAGTTTAGACAAGGATAGCAAGAATAAGATAAAATGAAACAGTCAGTTTAGACAAGCTGTCTTGGTAATCCAGGCCCATCTGGTACTCAGGCATGCCTATGTGCACAGTAAGATAAGGTGCATATTAAGGCATGCACCTTGCTTCAACCCAAGTGCACCCCCTTTTAAAAGGTGTATGCCTGGTGCTCCTAGGTGTGCACTTGTGATACACCTCAGCCAAAGTGCATTTTTATAAATTTGCATTTCTGGTTACGTTTTTATACATTCTTATATATTGTTTGCACCTTTACATGGTCTATCATCTTCTAAATTACCTTTGTTTAGGTGCACTAGAAAATTTTTTAAAAGAAATAAGAAACAAGACCTTTTGAATACCTTAAGAAATAGTTTCAAACAAAAGAAGAATTTTACAACACAATTGATCTCTGATTTGAAGAGTTTACACTGCATCAGACTTTCGGCCAGAGCAATTTGAATTTTAACAATTCCCCAACCCAAGTAGAACCCCTAGTGGCACTATCTCTGAAGCCCCCCAGGCTTGTTTGGACTAGCCAAAAGGGTCCCCATAAAGGCTCCAGCCTACTAAGATAGGAACGCAAAATGTATAAAATCACACCATGTAACTTGAAGTGAGGAACTAAGAGATGGACAAACCTGTTGAGAGTTTCACATGCCTGAATTGTTGCTCGCTTGAAGCGCTTCAGTACAATCCACACTTGTTTGCTTTCACTTTCACCTTAAATTTGTCTTACATGTTATGATTACATATTCTGATTTGATCTAACAAGCTTTTTAAAAGATTCAATCAATTTCTTTTAAAATTCAGGTTTCCATTTTTTTTTTGATAGATATTCAGGTTTCCTTATTTTTTGTATTAAAGTATTTATTTATTTTAAAAAATGTCTAAATCTACTTCATTCAGGTGTGTGCCTTGGGCACTAGAAGGCACATGCACTTTTTCTTGCATCTCTCACTTTTACAACACTGATCTGGTATAGGTGGGATATTCAAAGATTACCTTGGCAATAATGTACCACTCAGCTTCTCAAATCTACCTTGTTGGCCTTTCAAATGTTTCTTTGATGAGTAATGATGAAATTTTATTAATTCAGAAACTGATTCAGATTTATAATCTCATACAACAGCCCTTGGAGAGGTGCAAGCTGCAGCATCTCCTAACAGACTGCAAAGAAACTAGGAAAAGAGTACAGAAATCACAGCTGAGACCAGAACAATTCTTCCCTATTTGCCCCTTCCTTGACTAACACATCAACCAAAGCATTTGCTGAACTCCCCACCCACTGAATAGAAACCAACATCCTTTACAGCCAATTAATCTTCTTAATTTTGCTCTTATAGCAACAAACAGCATCCTCAGGGTTCTTCAACCAGCCTGCCACCACCTTGGCGTCCCCTTCAATACTTAGTCACACTACCCCCAATTGGTTTGCAAATTGCACCCCTTGTACAGCAGCTAGTAATTCTGGTCTAACAGAATCTCTGAACCCCCCCCCCCAATTCCTGATGGCCCTAGATTGCCCAAACTGCTCCCATCAAAATTCAGCTTCAGTGAGCCTTCAGATGGGGGAAACCACCTTGTAACTACCCTATTCTTGATGGAAGAGCACCTCACTAATGCTAACCAATTTCTCCAAAAGTCATTAAAAGAGAACTGAAGGAAAATTTCCAATGTCTTAAACCAATGTATTGCCCTATTCAACACACAATCCTTCAATTCCTAGCTGCTCATTTCCTTCTCTCCTCTTGAAAAATTCCAGTATTCCTTTCTTCCCATAATGTCCAAATCAAGGCTGCTTGAGCACATCTCCACATTAATCTTCCTCTTTTGGTAGGCTAACCGAAAGTAGAATGGTCAAAGACCAAGCTCTGCTGGCAAGCTCCAACTACACCCAAACAAAGAGAGTAGCCAAGCCCATGGTTCTGCAAAGAATGGACAAGATATGAGTAGATGGTAATAATCCTCCCCATGAGCTCTACAAAGGGTACACCAGTTGCGAAAAATACAAAGGAAGGGTCTTCTCTTTCGTAAGTTATCTAAAGCGTTTACTTTCCCATAGTACACTTCCCGGAAAAAAGCCATAATCTTTGGGGGAATCGACCTGCACCAAATTTCCTTCAAGGGAAAAACCTGTTGAATAGAAGATTGAGACATGGACTTAAAGAAAGAGAGTCAATTTCAGCACACCCCTTATATGGGTAAAGGATGTATAGAAGCTCCTAGGAATCTGTCACTTATCCCCACCTAATGCCTCTCTGCTAGGCCTTTGAAGAATAGGCTAATACATGATGGCCTAGAAGAAGATACTTATGGTAGAGAAAAAAGTCTTCTGTTCGAGGAATGTAGAGAAGTTTTGAAGTTTGAAGAGGAAGGGAAATCCATAGTTTTCCTGTCTCAAGTTATTGCAGGTTGGATTAAAGGATTTGTTGAGGGAGTAATCCATGCAGTGAAAAGACCTGGATGGAGTGAGCTGAGAAGAGACAAAAAGTTCTTTTCAATTGAGAAGAAAGTTAATAGTAAAGGATGCTTTTAAGGCTGGATGAAGTGATGGGAGATGGTAGGAGACATGCTATTTGTTTGCCAGAAGGGAGAAATAGACAAGATTGGGCTGCAGTTGATGAGGTGTTGCAGGAGTTTGAAGAAAGATGTTGGATGAAAAAGGAAAATTTGAAGGGGCTGGGGGTAGAGAAGAAGTTTCAAATTTCAAGGTTCAGAGGGTCAAAAGGAGATGCAGGATGTGATGGGTGTGAGGAGCTGGATGTGCTCCTAGGCTCGTGTTGGGAGGACACAAGGGGGACTGGAGTAAAAAGATGAGTGTGTCAGTGAAGAAGAAAATAATTGATTGGAAAAGGATCCTTATTGATGTTATGAATAAATTCCAACTGGGGAACTAGCTATGCCCATCCCTTTTGATGACAGTAAAGCTTTGCTGGACTTGGGGAAGTTTAAGGCAGAGGTCATGAATGTTGAATTGCTGGAAGGTACGGTAACTGTAGCGAACTGGACACCATGCAATGAAATCTCAATCCCTGAGGGAAGTGTGTCTTTGAAGATCTTTGGACTTCCTTTCAATTTGAGGCTGGATCACGTCTTCGATCAAATAGCAGCTCTGTGTGGAGTTCTTAAAGATGTTTACACTGTTGATCTCCATGCAGTGAAGATGAAAATTGCTGGTGACAAATCGGATAGGATTCCTCATTCGATTGATACCTTTGCTGAAGAGAGACGGTGGAAGCCCTGGGTGGTGCTGGAAACTGAAACATCTTGGTGGTCTGGGGGGAAAGAGATTGAAGATGATGCCAAGTGGATTTGGTGGAATCCACGTGGCACAAACAAATTGGAAGGAATGAGAGAAGAGGGAGAGCCTGAAGTAGTTTTGGGTGTTAAAAAGTTCGATGCTGAATAAATTGTTTGCTCTATTTTCAAAAAATGATTTTAATAACACTGATCTCGACAGGAAAAGAAAAAATTTAAGTGGCTGGTCAAGGACATGGAAGTGAAGTTCAGTTGGGTGAAGAGATCTGCTAACCCATTTGTTGATGAGTTAGCAAAGATTGGGGTGGGTAGGGAAGATTTATTTTGGGCCTAGTTGTAATTTCAGACTTTGTATGGAGCTTTGGCCTAAGTAGGGGGAGTTAAGAAATTTTATCTCCCTGCTTGTACTATATTTACAGTCTAACTAATGAAATTATTGTTATTGATCAATAAATAAATAAATAATGCTGATCCCGAGAAAGGGGAGATTAGAAAGGGAGAAAAAGAAGGTGAACAGGCATTTCAGGAGAAAGAGGGACATTTACAACTGGTTGGGACTGCTTTTATTTGCCCAACACGTGATTTTCTTGGGGAGCAAGTGAGCAAAAAAGAGGGTGATAGCCTGGGCTAGAAACAAATAAATTTTGGACAGGATTATAATGGTGGGCCCAGGAAACTTGAGTCAATTAGTATTGGGCTGAAGAGCGGGCCCATTGATAATGGCAGAGTGGTCAGTGGTACAAGATTTAAAGAGGCCTTTTTTGGTTGAGTTGATTGATGGAATGTTTTGAAAATCTTAATCTTATCGTAAATCGTAGAAAAAGTTGAATCGAATCGAATCGTGAATCGTATCGTAAATTGTAAGATTATTTCTATTTTTTATAAACTTGTCAAAAAATTAAATATAAATATAATAAAAGGTCAAATATATATACGAAAGTGACTTTCCCATATTTTTAATCTATATATACCATATATGTACCTAAAATAATAGAACTTACCACTTATATAATAGAAGCCTGAGATGATAGAATCAAATTTGACTTGAAAGTCAAACAAATCCACATATAATGGCTCTTTATCCTACATATGAAGGAAAGTAAACTCAATTTCTAGTCTTAAATAATGTAAATAAATCATTTTCAAGTAAGGGCTTTAAAAAAAATCTCCCTTGACAAAACTAGATATAAACAAAAACATAACAAAGTGGAGAACTAATTCTTAATTGAATTTATTTGAATCATAGTGAATCGTAAAAATAGTATAAATCGTAAGATTTATGAATCAAATCGTAGGATTCAAACAAAAATCGTAACATTTTTGCAGAAAAGTATTCAGACATAAGATTCGAATCGAAACCCTTGGGATTCATGATTCAAATCGTGAATCGTATCATAAATTGTAAGATTTTGACAAGGATACAAAACAACCAAGTTGGGTAGTTCAATTGTGATACAAGGGACAATGGTAGATGCTAAGAACATTGTTATCGAGCATGTGGTGCAGCATTTGAAGAGGTGCCGATAGAGGAGGTCACAAAAGAGATGGTTCACAATGCCAAATGCTTCATCTGGAGAACAGAACGTTTTTCCTTCAAAGGAATTTATCAATTACAGAGAAAGCTGACAAGGAAGAAAAGAGATTGTGTTGAAGAGAAGGAAGAGGTTCAGGTGGATTTTAAAGACAGTTTTCTTCAACAGAAAAAAGGGGAGGATGGGGAAGACATTCTGGATGCCTCTAACGGTAAGAGAGGAGCTTTGGAAAGAACTGAGGGAGAGGATTGGGGACAGACAAGAGTGGTGGTGGAAGAAGAGAATAGTGGAGAGATGATTATGACTTTTCTGGGAAGAGATGAAATTAGAGTCAAAGAAGAGGGAGAGTGCAGTAAAAGAGATGAGGTGAATGGGGTTGAAGGGGCAAAGAAAACAAGAGATGTGGAAGAGCTAGTAGGGAACAAAGGAGAAGGGAATAAAAGTTTAGTAGAGGAGAAAGAAGGGGAAAAGGATAAGGGATTGAGGGAGGGGGAAGTGAGGGTGTAGGAAGTAAGAGTCGGGGTGGGGTTAGAACATACAAAAGGAAAAGATATAGAACTTTTCCCTTAGAAGAAAACAGAGGGGGGGATGAAAGTGGACTCAGGGGAGGAAAGTGAGGATGAACCAATGATAGATGAGGTTCATAATGTAGAGAAGACTTGTGACTTTGAAGAAGTGGTAAATAGGGAAATGGAAGCCGGTGGGATTTTGGGCTTGTTCTTCTTAGGAGGGGAGGAGTTTGCAAAGGAAGCAATCGGGCCAAGCCGAACTTTGGAATGTCTTGGCTCAGCTCGACTAAAATACTACTAGATTTGAGTTCAACTTTAACTATATTTTCCGACTCAAGCTCAACTCAATTAAATATTCAACGAACTCGAGTTCGGCTCAAAAGATCAAAAATAAATATATTTGTATATTTTATATATCATATTTTTTATAATATATAGTATGTTCTTATATTATATAGAATATAAAAATATATTTTTATATATAGAATATAAAATATATTTTATAATATTCTTTATAATATAATATAATATAATATATATGATACTTTTATAATATATAGTATATATTTTTTTAGGCATGTAGGTATGTATGTATGTATGTGTCAATGTTTTAAAACGCGGAGGCGTGACGTGAGGCGTTCCACTACCTAGAGGTGTGAGGCATAGTTCAGAACGCAAGAGGCATAAGCCTCCCGAACACAAGGAGGTGTAAGCCTCCTTAAGAGGAGGGGGTTAGGAGAGGATGAAGAGAAGGGGGAAATCATTTTTTCTTTATTTTTAATAAAAATCTTTTATATTAAGAAGAATAAAGATGCATAACATTAGTTCAAAGGGGGGGGGGGTCTTGTCGAAGGCCAGCCAAACAGACACAAAACACCCCTCAGATCTTAGCTCTATCTTTCGTGGGATATCTTCAGGCTTCACTCCACTTGGCAAAACTGCCGCAGAGTGGAGATCACCCCAGAGAGCTCCTTCTAAGCACCCTCCACACATCAAAGCTATAGAATCTGCCATTTCTTGCTTCCACAGATGGAATGGCAATCCTATTAAATGCACCACAACTCACTCCATCTTCAACAAAGAAATCCTTGGAGTTAGACATTGGACTTCATTTGAAAACTGTGAAGGATCCAATCTCAGACTGAATATTGAGAGCTGATATTTCCACTTCATTTTCTACGAGGTCTAAGAGGGCTTTGCATTCATCAAAGGGGGTTACTATCAATATTCCTTTCAACTTCAATCTTATGCTCAGCAAATCAACAACCTTCCTCCAATCACTAACCTGTTCGTTAGCTCAAATTACAAATTTACTGTCCCAATCTTCTCTTTTTGAAGTACAGAACCATTTTGCACTGACCTTTGGTATTTACCATGACCACAGGCTCCTGTTCCATGATTTCTACCCTGCTATTGCTCTGGTCTACCTCCTCCCTTGTGAAGATTTCCTTTTCAGTTGACACCATTTGACCCAAAAACTCATTAAGCAATCTGTTAACTTCCCCCCATCCATGGCTCTGTTTTCCTGCAGGGAAACATATTAGCTGTTTTCTTCCCCTACCAAAATGTTCAGCCAAAGCTATGAAAAAACCCTTAATATGTCTCTTACATTCGAACGAGCTCCATTTATGAAGTCCCTAAACAATTCAACCACTTCTAATCCTTCCAGCAATATCGTACCCTTCCCTTCTTTGCTTCCCTGACCTTCAGACTTGGCTTCCCCTTGGTTCACATCTCTTCAAACAAGAGATGTGAACCTGCTTGCACAAACTTCTTCATTGACCTCTAAGGTGCCAATAGTTTTTGTTGGCTTTTCAAAGGTTAAGTCTAAAAGATAAAACATAAAGGACAAGAGTGTCCTTAACTGTTCATTAAATCTTCAAAACATGTCCTCGTTCTTCCAGTTCCAGCACAAAAAAAAAAAAATAGCCAGTCATGGCAAGTGATGGCCCACTGCACACTAGTACTGGGTAGCAAGAAGCTGCCCTGATTTCCCTAAAAAAAAGTTTTCTAGGTAAAAAGAAGATTCATTTAATCGTAAATCCGGATATAGCCGGTGCTTTGATCACAGGGCTCCTTATGCCAAGTGAACTATGGCCAATCTGATAGGACATGTTGGCCTTAGATGTATTAAAGTCGTCCATGTAAACAGGAACACTAAGGGGATTGAATGAATGAAATTTCCGTCTGTATTACTAAAAAAATTCAGATACAGTAAGTCTCCTCCATCTCTACAAAATGTTGGTATACTTTGTCAATTTGACATATCACCCATGGGTCCTAATCAGAAGATTCACCTTTTATGCATATTCAACATCAGACTTGCATCTTAAATCCATTGTGCCTTTACTTTTTTAATTTTCCCGTACTTCAACAGCTACAGTGTCATTGTCTCCGTTTTTCAAGCATTTAAATAAGGTAAGTTCTTTGGTCTCTCTTAATCCATGGACATTCCACAGCTATTGTGCTTGGAAAATTTCATTGAAAAGAATGGAAGAGATAGTCTAGGGTTTCAGTTGAGAAATTTGAAGAAGAAGATCAACAGTGTTTTCAAAGTGGAAGGATAAACTTGAGATAATGAAAAATTTTAATATCAGCTATAAACGGCCCTGAACTTTTCATTGATGGAGGACCTGTTTATGTTATGTAGGCCCATCTAAAAAGGTATAAATAGTTTTTGAAACTAAAGGGTATCCATAAGTAGTTTCCACAAACTACAGGGTATATATAAGTAATTAACCTTTAATAAAATCATTTTTTTTGTTAATGAAAAAAAATGATACAGCCAGTTTAGACAAAGATGAAATCAAAGTTATTACGCCTCTGTCTTCATGTTCATTGATGTGGTTTATAAAGTCAAAAGAAAGAAAACATCCAAGCCTTGAACAAAAATATACCTGTTTCAAAAGTTTACTAAATTGTGCTTTGGAAATTTCGGAAGCCCCTCCAGTGGCATTCCCCCTGATGTGAATTGGAAGACCAGAAAGTGACTCTACAGAAAATCCAAAAATAAAGTTACAACTTACAAATGAAGATGCCATGCATGTGTTACTGCAAACAGTAGTACTTGAATGACAAAAAAAATAGGTATGCAAATGGTATTAATTTTTCAGAATTTGAACTTGAATTCAAATACAATCGGATTAAGGTAATCTGAATTCACTCTTGTTTATAATTGGATCAAATATGGATCCACCCCAATGCACTTTGATTCAATCTAATCCACTGATGTTTAAATATCTATGCTACATTCTACATAATATTAACATGCATCAATTAGCAAGGTCAGTTTGACTTTTGTATGTTTACTGAAGAGGAAAAAGTGCAGGTATAGCAGAAGCTATTGGCATATATGTTCACAATATGCAATTTCAAACTCATTTTTTAATTTATTTATTAATACTATAGAATATTCTGATAACTCTAGTTTAGTTTATTAATGGTATTCAATATCTGAATCCAATACAAGTCTGATCCAAATCTGTCAGAAAAAAATTCAATTAGAATCCAAATATTAACAGATCAAATTTGGATCTAGGTATATCCAATTTGATCCAATCCATTTCCTATGCTAGAAATCAAGGTTAAAGATCAAAATACCTGCAGAGGCTGCACCTTTCTGTTGTAGCTCAGAAGACTTTAAGTTGTAAAAAGCTTTGTCCTTAACAATCACCCCTCTTCCAGCAAGAGCCCAGTTAAGACCATAAGAAGCCCCAGGACCCTCCCTGTGTAAAAATGTATTAGCAACAAAACCAGAGAAAAACCTAACCCAGTCCTATGAAAAAGTTGTAAACATCCGATTTTTGGCTATCTAAAGCTATAAAGAAAAAGATAACTACTTGGTATTGCTCATATTGGAACAGGTTGTATGCATAAAACCAAGATATCAAGTCACTATAGTGTCTAATGAATGGAAACCATGGCATCCCTAACAGTTTTCTCAATGAAAAAAAAAGAAATTACATCTTCCTTATACTGCTACTTCAGATGGATCCCTAGAGATCTCAATTGTGTGGCTGATAGACTTGCCAAAGCTGGGTGGATAAGGATTTTTTTATAGTGATAGCATAATGCCTTTGTAAATCTGGGGTTTTGATTTTTTGACCTCAAAAAAAAAGCCATCCTTGAAAGATTTGACTCTTCTTTTTTTTTATAGGAAACAGTAACTTTCATTAGAGAATTGAAAAGATTACAAGCTTACCACCCACAAAATGGATGGAAAAAGAAAATAAAAAACGTACAAACAGGCCCAAAACAAAGCCTCCCTAGTAACTCCCAGGTTTCCAGCTTGCATCCACCCTATTACCAGCTTGGAGTCTCCTTCCACTTCTTATTGCTGCATTCCCCATTGTTGTCAGTTTCAAACCTTGAAGTAAGGCCATTACTTCTGCCCTTAATGAATCTCCCACCCCAATTGGGCCCGAGTAAAGGGCCAAGACTTTTCCTTCCTCATTTCTGTACACACCCCCAACTACCGACTGACCTGGATTACCCAAGGAGCCTCCATCGAAGTTTAGCTTCACCCTGAACTGAGCGGCGGTACCCAACATTCTTGTACCACAGGGGAGGAAGGCAAGGATACAGCTATAGCACTCCAAGATTTGACTCTTCTCCTGTCAGCTATGTGAGAGAAAGGTTGGCAGAATGGGGCCTTCTTCCAAAACCACTCCATGTTTCATTTCAAACAGCTAGATAAAAGGTTGACCAGTCTCTCCACTACCACAGAAGGGGAAAGAGCAGCCATAGAGCCCATTTGGTACGGCTTCTGCCTTGGAGGTATGTTGCAATGATTGAACCGTGGTGGTTGAGCGCCTGTGTTCCAGAAAAGCTACCTAGAGTACCTTCATATTACAGTCACGTTTCTCACATCCGGAACGTAATGCACACGTTTTCCGGATTTTCATCAAACACAGTTTCCGGTGTTCCCATGTGGGGCCCAGCTTGGAAAGGATGAAACCACATTTAGATTCTACTACATTTTCACCATCATACAATTACATGTTAACTATAATGTATTAATTTAAAAACTAAACCACTAAATAATTAAATGACAACTTACACTTGACTTTCGGAGAAACTGATAGGAAAACTAATCTTTAGTTTTGCATATTCTTGTGTCAACCCAAAATGTGTTACATGTTAAGAGGATCAATACTGGCAAATGAATCGCCTCAAACTAGCTCACAGTTTGTCTTATATGGATTGAACCCTCATCACAAAGGTTCTTATCCAGCTACCACAATGTTTGGACATGACTTGAAACTACTCCATGTTATTTTTTTTAATTAACTATTATTACTATTTCTTTCCTCGCAGTTCTGAGAAGCCCTCTCTCAATCTACTCTCAATGTGGAAAGAAGCATGCAAAACAACAAATTGCTAGCAGAAAATCGAGTACAACAGAACAATGTTTTAAAAGCTCATTTACCAAAAAAAAAATGTTTTAAAAGCTGACCCAAAAGCCAAACCGTTTTTGCCTCTAGGTTGCAGGCCACCAATTCGACCGTCCGGGTCGAAAGGATCAGACCATGCCACATCAGCATACGTATATATACATATATGTGTATATCAAGGATTAAAGTATCAGTATTGGGTACCATATCGAACAACTTGGATACGGATACAGATACGCTTTGAAAACACATGGATACACTAGGAAAACACATACAAATTCCATAAATACATTAATAACACTAAATTTAAAATCAAATAGCCACAAATAAAGTGTAAATATGTAAGAAATTAATATTTTAACAGTGTATATGAAAAAATATATTATGGTTAATGTAGCGGGATGCATATATATATCATACAATTTTATTGACAATGCAACAATCAAGAGCCCAAGACAATATAACATATGCACATATTATATTTTAATTATTATATCAATTATTTTCTATTTTACTATTTTACCTTTTTACATTAACAAAAAATTCAACCAAATATTGAATTCTCAAATATAAATTAAAATATCAATTAATAAATTATAAAAATATATAATCTCAATTAAAAAAATATCAAATCTGTCAAAATTTCTAAGATACATATCATAAGCAAATTTTTAATTTTCAATTAATAAAATAATTATTCCATTATTAATATTTTTGTTTCAATAATTTTTATAAAATTAGAAACCATTTTTGATATAAATGTTGATTACTAGATTTGATGGATTCTGGTTAATATCATATTATCAAATATTTTGTAAACTTTTTTTGTAAATAGTTAATATGTTGTTTTTTAATGTAATGTAAATTAAAATACTAATTAATAATCTAAATATATATATTAATTTTAAGTACTAAAATAATTATTCTATTATTAATATTTTATTTGCATAATTTCTTGAGATTAAAATCATATTTTGATTTTAATGTGGATTTGATAGAACATTTATTCCATTAGTTTATAAAATACTAATTTTGAATATCACTCTTTTTAATTTTTAGTTGGAATTGTTAAACATAAATATGTATTATATACTTGGATTACATATAAATACTAAATTTAATAAAAGTTATTTCATATTACTTATTAACATAAAAACTTAAGTTGTGCCCTACATTAGGCAAACGATCTGGGTTCAAATATCTCTACTTTCATGTTTTTTAGTAGGAGGGCATGGCATATCGATTCATAACAGTGTGTATCGGCCAATACAATGCAATACGAACCAATATGCACCTGTATTGGATCGGCCCAAAACACACAACTAACAGGATACACCTCTATTTGTAACATATCTCACATCAGGTATGATCAGTACCGATCGATATTTCAAACCTTGGTGCATATATACATATACATGTACATATATACATATATACAATGTATTATGTATATATGTATATATGTGTGTGTATAGGTATGTATAAACATGTATTTTATTATTAAAAAAACATAATTATTTTTTAGATGTAATATATGCATATATAAATATCATTTTATATTTAATTTATATTTTTAATTCAGTTTTAAATTTTTTATTTGTAAAAAATGCTAAAAATGCAATTTAAGGCCAAAAAAGGGTTTTTTGGCAAAAATAGCAAGGCAAGGCACCTTTAGGGCGCATAGATCTTGAAAGGTTAACCAAAATCAAAAAATAAATCACCCCAATCAGACATGTGAGTCAAAGTTATGGCCTCCAGAAGTTTGCACATACATCTAGTGTGCAACCCCTAACCCAATGACCAGGTCAAACGGGTCAACAGTTCAACTGCCCAGGTTGAACGAGTTTTTACCAAGTGGTGGGTTTCATGCAAACCATAGTTGTCAAGGTGACGCCTAGGCGACAAGGCACCCTTTGAGGCTCGCCTCGCCTAATTGCCAAGCAATTTTGTACTATGTATTATAGAATACTTTTTTATTCTTTATTTTTTGACATTATAATTATAAAATAGGCACTATTAAACTAAAATATTCATTTTATGTATTTATATACTAATTTCTTTTTATTATTTTCTTATTTTTTTAGGGTTTAATCAATACAAACATTGTAAATGCTGCATTGAACCTTCAAAGACTTTAAAACCTCAACCAATAAGTAAGGAAGAACTTAAAATTTTGTCTAATCAACACATTTCCTTTTATTATTATCGCCAAGCACTACTACTACTACTACTACTTTTCTTCTTTTCCTATAACAAAAATAAGGGTTCAGCCCCTATACTTTTTGAATTTTCTTTTCTTTCTTCTTTTTCTTCTGATGAATATGTTGATTTTCTTACTTTAACATGAACTCTGCACTTTTCTTATGAAAATTATGAACAATTATTAAGGAAATATGGTTATGGTACCTAGGGAACTACCCTAGGATCTATGTTTTCTACATAAAAAAATCCATCACCTAGGCGACAAGGCGCCCCCCTATTGACTAGCCTCACCTTGGTACCTTGAAAACTATGATCATGGGTCACCTTGCCCAAACGCTAGATGATTTTCCTATTAGGCACTTGCACAAACAATTAGGCACACACCAAAGCGACTAGGTGGGCACCTACCTGCAAGATTGCTATTGAAATTGTTGGCCCACACGTATTATATCATTTTTTATTGGTTACTTTATCTTATTAGAATACACTCTATTACATGTTATAATTTTTTATTATGAGAATTATAATATAAAATAAAACTACAAACTACAAATGTTTCTAGTCTTTTCCTAGGGGTTGAGCTCTGAAGTCTGAACCAATTAGAAAAGAGAAGACTGGGAAGTCTCCATTGTTTCAGTCCAAATCATCAAGGGATCTCCAAGTCGTCTGTTTTTCAGGAATGAAACAAGGGCTCCACCCCCTTATTTCTTCTTCTTAAATAGGAGCTGCACCGCATCCTTCTCTTCTGCTTTGGCTAGTAATTAGTTGCTTCTTATTTGCTTTATTGAATGGTTAGATAAATATTGAAATTAATATATTTAAATGATGAATATATAATGACAGTTTATATTTTTACATGAAATTTATACTTGAAAAATTTTGTTGCTGATGATTATTGTACAGGTTTGCTGATTGGTATACAAAACTAATAAACCAGCTTAGGAGGGGTAGGGATCTATAGATTCTATATTTTCAAATTTGACTTCCTAGGCAGTAGGCATCACCTAGGTGCCTAGGTGCCTGGGCGTCGCCTAGGCTCACCTAAGCACCTTGACAACTATGATGCAACCCGGACCCAAAATCTTGACCAGGTTACGATTCAAACGGTTCAACCAGCTGGGTCAATGGCAGTTTAAAACACCATGACAGAATGAAATCAGATGGTCCAATTGAAATACAAGGAACCATAGGGTGTTTAAAATAATATTTTTTCCACGAACCTCTATTCTGAATGCTAAGACTGAGAAAATTATCGGACTGTAATATGTGAACATCATGGTAATTGTAAAGTATAGAAAGCTGCCCATAGACAAACTTTCTGGAAGCAAGGATCTAGTACTTCTTTATGAAAAGGAAGGTTATTGATTGACTAACTTCTACCTTTCTTTTAATTTTGACTAATAACATGAACTATCATGACAGTATTGCCCAGACAGCTAGACACCCAATCAGATTTTTTTCCTTTCAGAATAATTTTTATATCATTTATTTGTTACTCATGTATTTTCTTTTTTTTACGATTGTTACTCTCATACAMTTTCACATTTAGCATTATAAAAAAAAAATTGTGTATATATTTTTTTAATTGAAAATGTGGAAGATCACCATGTAACCAGAAGCAAGACAAGGAAAACCATCCCCTAAATTATATTCACACTCATTGTCATTTAATTATGAAGGGGCAATGGTAAAATCTCAGATTGACAAGCATGAGAACTTGGATGAGTCTAAGAGAGTTCACTTTGCGCAAAAAAAGTGCCGAAGTTTAGGTTCATATCCAGCCCACCCCTACCAAGACCCTAGAAAGCTGGGAGCAACATAAGGCAATTTTTTAAAATGTGTAGGCGTGATGTGATACATTCCACTAACTGGAGGCATGAGGCAGTGTTCAGAACATAAGAGGCATAAGCATCCTTTTTTTATCAGTAAATATGTGTTTTATTAAAATTCAGATTGTAAACATTTTATACAATTTGATGATGGGACTGTTGATTCCTTTTCCTCACTCTATTCATCCCTCTTGAGAGGAGGGGGATGAGGAGGAAGAAGAAGAAGAGGGAAAGACAAACTTACCTTGTCTTTTTTCTAAATGAAAGATATCTTATATTAAGAAGAATGAAGATGCATTCTTTCCCTTCTCTTTTCTTCCTTTCCCTTTCCTTTTCTCTCTTTGTTCTCTTCTCTTCTCTTTCTTTCTTTCTTTTTCTTTCCCTTCCCTCTCTTTTCCTTTCTTTTCTTTTTTTCTTTGTCTTTTTGTATGAGGCGTGCATGAGGCATACATCTCAGAGGCATCAACACTTCTGGCATACACCACAGAGCAGTTTTGGAGGCATACATCAACACCTCTGGCAGAAGAAGAAGATTCATTCTGAAGACGTACATCAACCAATTTACAGGCTGCAGTATTAGTTTTAATATTAGTTTAATCTCAGAGTCGGAGGTATATAATCCAGCAGATTCTTCAGTATGAGGCATGCATTAGGCACACATCTCAGAGGCATCAACACCTCCAGCATACGCCACAGGACAGTTGGAGGCATACATCAGCACCTCTGGCAGAAGAAGATTCATTCTGAAGACATACATCAACCCATTTACAGACTGCAGTATTATTTTTAATATTAGTTTAATCTCAGAGTCAGAGGTATATAACCCAGCAGATTCTTCGGTATTGTCTGGAGTTCAGAGGGATGGTATGTACTTGTATTCTGCAATGCCAGAATAAAGGGGCTAAGGTGTGTGTTATGCTGTAAAATGTTGTCAAAGGCTTTGAAGTTTGTAACTTATGTTAAATTACCTCCTTATATATTACTTCACCATCAAGTTTTAAGTCATCGATCAATAAAAATAATGATAAATATAATTCAGGAAACATAGATTATTACCACAGAGAACCATAAGGAACCTAAGATGGATAACATTTTTTTATAGGAAGATAGCAACATTTACAATAGTGGTAAGTTTTCAGTTGTACAATATACTCTGTCACATATGTTTGATTTCACATTTAACTGAAACAGAAAAGACTCAAATGTAATGCAAATTATATAGCAATTAAGAATCTCAATTGAAATGAGGAAATTACCTAGGAAAAACAACTGTTTCCCCTTCCTCATCAGCCAATGATGCAGAAACTGCATGCTGTAGGACTCGCAACATGGTAAACATGATCAGATCACTTGTACGTTTTTAGAGGAAAAAAAAAAGAGAATTTAGAAGTAAACACGACCTACAAGGAACATAATCATAAAAACAAATATAAAATGCATTGGATGCATCAAAAAGTAGCTTAAGCATTACAGTAATTCCACTGGATTCTCATCTGACCATAGTCCTGCTTATTTTTCTACATATATACTAGAAGGCGCCTGAAAAGATGTAAATTTTGAATGAATGGGTGGGAAAACCAGAAAAAATGAAATCAGAAATGAGCATTTCAAAGGAATCTACAAATAGCCCCATTAGGTGATAAAATGAGGGAAAGTAGATTAAGATGGTTTAGTCACATAAAAATAAAACTATCTACAGCACCTAAAAGAAGATATTGTGGTGTGTCATCCTCGTGAGTCAAATGAAGAGATTATACATGGGGCCCACTTTTTAAGAAAAAATAAAACAAGTCAAATATGTTGAACAGAAGAGGGCATTAAAAGTAAAGAAAGGGGCAGAATTGAAAAAAAATCCTAAAGCACAACAGAAGAGATTAAGACATATGATTTTAGAATTTATATAGGAATGTCAAGACAAGAGGAAGGCAAGGGAAAAGAAAAGAGAAAGAGGAATGGATTTGCATTGTTACCAAGTTTGAACAATTTGTGGCAAAGAGGAACAGTTTAAGAGATGCCACAACAAACCTTAATTTTTTATCAATAACAGAAATTCTTCATTAAAAGATATGAATCAAGTACAAGGGAGGGGAGAGGTAAACCATCTTAACTATCCCCCAAAGAGATACAACATTACAAAGTAGCCCAAAGCAACTGATTCCTTCCCACCCCTTGTTTGGCAAGTGTATCTGCAAATGAATTGGCACTTCTTTTTACCAACTGCAATCTCACCTCCATACCCTGAGTCGGCCACTTGATGTTCATTCATGTAAGTCCACATGCCATCATTTTCCTTCACTAACCAACCTATTAACACTTTATAGTCTCCTTCAATGATCAGTCTGTTAACATTTAGCTCCTTGGCCCTTTTCACACCCTCCACCAAAGCCATAATTTTTTTCTTGCAGTGAATCCCCAACATCAATTGGGCCTGAAAATAAAGCTATGACTGAACCTTCCTCCGACCTGAAAATTCCACCCATCCCAAATGGCCCAAGGTTACCTTCATTGCTGCCATCAAAGTTTAACTTGATAAAACCTGCACAAGGCGAAGTCCATGGTGGATGAGTAACACTTCTACTTGGAGCTGAGAGCCTGAGACTACCACTTCCTTCCAGTTATTCAGTAGAGTCTCTGTGTGAATGTCATTAAATATCTCCACTATTTTTCACTTCTATGGTTGCCTCTTTGCTTCTCTCTTTTTTCAGCAAAAATTCTTTGATTTCTTTCCTCCCAGATTATCCAACAAACCACCGCTCTTGTACATCTCCACAATATTCTTCCCTTCTTCTTTGTCCAGCTACTAGCAGAAGAGTCAAAGAAGCTTTGTAGACTTGGTAAGGGAATCCACTTGCAACCAAACAGAGAAAGAAACCAATCCCAAATAGAAGAAACAAAAGGGCAAGAGATTAATAAGTGGTAGCAAGGCTCACCATTGGCTTTACAAAGAGCACATACACCAGTTAAAGAGACAAGCACCAAAAAGGCTTCTTTCTTTGAAGTAGATCACAAGTGTATTCTTTCCAAAAATGTTTCCCAACAAAGTGCCCCAACCATTGGCAGGACTGATTTCCCCCATGCTTCTTTAACAGGAAAGGAGAAAATGGTCAAAATTTGAGAATGAAGCACAAGTAAATGAACCAGAGGAGGAAACAGTCCAAATTTGAGAGTCCAATTTAGAGGGATCCAAGAGAACCTTTTGGAGAATTTGAATCAAAGCCAAGACACTATCCACATCTGATTCTTTGAAACCCCTCTAAACCCCAAGTCCCAGTCAAGCTCAAGCCCCAATACCAGGAGAGGATAAAAAGGTGGAAACATGTTCATTTTTGTGACTGGAAAGGGAGAATAAAGATGGAAATTGATCTTTAAGTGGTGAATCCCCCACCCACAGATGTTCCCAAAATCTTACCAAATGCCCAGAACATAGGTTGTACCTAACAAAGGGTATGAAATACTTAAGGATGGCATGAATAGCTTTCCAAGGTGCCACACTAGTTGCTCATGCCAAAACTTCCGCATCCCAGCCATCAGCTGCCAACCCATGGATGCCTAAGATCACTTTTGTCCACATTACCCTTGTCTATCAGTAACCTCCACAACAATTTTGAACAATGATAGAAGAAAGGTGATCTGATCAATGTAATTCTTCCACCCAAGGACAGACAATTCCTCTTCCAAGAGGCTAATCTTTTTTGTAAACCTATCCACCATTGGGTTCCAGAAACTTATATTTCTTGGGTTTCCTCCCAAGGGTAATCCCAAGTAATTCATTGCCCACTGAGATACTTCACAGCCCAAAATAGTTGCACACTCTAACACCTCTCTTACATCCATATTGATCCCCACCACATAGCTCTTATTGAAGTTAATTTTCAGATTTGACATCTACTCAGACACTTGGATCACCACTTTCAAGTTTCACACCCATGTCTTATTATCTCAAGATTCTCACTCACAAAATAATATGGTGTCATCGGCAAATTACAGATAAGTAATGGGCACTCTTTCCCTTCCCACTATCTAGCCTCTCTCCAGACCCCTCAAATCTGTTCTCTAGATTAGAATACCTAGCACATCAACTATCAAGGTCAATAAGAAAGGGGCTAGGGGATCCCCCTTGTCTAATTCCTCCGATAGCAGGAAAGTGGTCCACAACTGTACCATTTAACAAAATTGAATGGTGACAGGTACTTGTGCAACCATGAACCCACTTACACCACTTATCTCCAAACCCACAGTTTCCCATTACCTCCAATAGAAAGTTTGAGTCCACTAAATCATATGCTTTCTCCAAACCAAGCTTACAAACTAAGCCTTTTTTTTCAAGTTCTTTTCACCTCCTCCACACTCTTGTTAGCAATTAGAATTCAATCAATGATCTGCCTATTCAAAACAAAAGCTCCTTGATTTGGGGAGATAATAGAAGGAAGCACTGATTCAATTCTCCAAGACAGCACCTCAATGATGATTTTATACAGGCTATTAACAAAGCTGATGGGTCTAAATTCCTTAGGATAAACTGCCCTAACTTTTTTTCAGAATCAAAGCAATGAACATTGAGTTCAGCCCTGGATTTATTACCCTCTACTAAAGAACTCATTGAATACCCTTAGAATATCCTCTTTGAGGATGTCCCAACAGTCTTGGTAAAAGGCCATTTTAAACCCATCTGGACCTTATCTTTTAGCTCTATCCATCGAGAAAACCGCCTCCTTTATTTACTCTATTCAAACCTCCTTTCTAACCAAATCTTGTGATTTCCTGACAAATAAGGCCAATCCAACCCATCCAGACTTAACCACTTAGTAAGGGGCTTTCTAAATATCGATTTAAAATGGTTCACAAAGGCTCCAGCAATTTCACTTTGTTGATCAATTGTTTCACCTTCAATCTCTAACTTAGAWATGAAGTTTTTCCTCCTATCATTTGCTAGAGCATGGAAGAACTTTGTACTTCAATCCCCTTTATCCAATTTTGTCTAGACTTCTATCTCCAACTAATTTCTTCTTTGAACAAGATGTCTTCCGGTATCTTCCTTAAGGTCCCTCTCCCCTGTTTTTCCCTTCCTCCAAAGGTTCCTTCAACTTCTTTATTGTCCAAGATCTCAATTTGATCAATTACCTCTTGCTTTTTTTCCTCTGGTTTCCCAAAATGATGTATGTTCCAATCCTTAATTTTTTGTTCTCAGCTCTTTTAGCTTATGATGGAACCTCATGCCCTACCAATGAACCCTTGGGTTACTCTCTATCCACCACTCCTTAACTTTTTATTTGATCCCTAAGTGATAGGGCCACATATTCTCAAACCAGAAAGGAGTCAAACCCCTCCCCCTTAAATCATCCCTGAACAAAGAAATTGGCCGATGATCAAAAGTTATTCTTGGTAAATCCCTCAAAACCAACACTCCCCAATGTTCCTCCAATCTACTGTAAATAAAAATCTATCAAGCTTTGATGGTAATCCCCTCACCTTATTGAATGCCTCAACAAATCTTATTACATTAAGGTCCCCTCCAATACACCATGGTCCATCCCATAAGCCTCGTATATCTTCTAATTCTTCCCACAACTCATTTCTCTCTATATATCCATTAGACCCATAAATGTTTGTTAAAACCCATTCAAATTCATTGTCCACTTGTCGGAACTTGACTGACACTGTGAATTTCCCCACCAGTTCCTCCACTCCTTGCACCACATCCTTCTTGCATAGGACCATGCTCTCTTCCTTGCACTCCCTAACCCTTGAACACTCAAATTGATCAACTTCATTTCTAAACTGCATTTTTTTGTATCCCCTTCACTCGACAAACCAATTTATTTTGCCCCTCTTCTTCTACCCTACCTCTTATTGAATTCCCTATCACCCTCCACATCTAGTTTCAATCTCCTAGCCTCGCTCAGCTTTCTTTTTCCTCACCTTCCCTTCAGTTTTCGTAGTCATTGTGTAAGTTTTCAATTCATTTAGATCCTTTAGCTTACAGCTAATTTTCTCCACAAACATTGCCACCAAGTTCTCTTCCCTTTTCTCACACTCTCTTTCTACCCCTTTGCTCATACTATCATCTTTCGAGACTGGATCTGAATCCTCCTTACTACCCTCATGATCAATCATTTTATCTCTTTTCACCTCCCTCCTCTCAACTCTTCCAGTGACTCTTCAATTAGGTCCCAAATCTTTCCAGTGATTTACAAGGCAGGCGCACCTAGGCGCATAGGCGAGGTGCATTTTAGGGTATGCGCCTCGCCCAGGTCCTAGGCGCACCCCTTTCAAAAGGTGCACGCCTGTTGCGCCTAGGTGTGCGCCTGTTGC